CCAAGAGGCGGTCAGTGGCGCCGCCCGTCTACGAGACCCGACAGTTGGACAAACACTTTCATACAGTGGTGTCGATCGACGGCCGCCGCTATTCCAGCGCTTATCTCGAGAAGAATAAGCGATACGCCGAACAGACGGCCGCTTTGGTCGCCCTCTTGTCACTGAAACTGATCCACAACTCCAATGAGATCGACGAGAGTGTTGTGGCCGCCGATGATATGTATAGGATATCTGTTGCCATCGATTCTCACGTTTATTATATTAAGACTTCTTGAGATTGTGTCTAAAATTAGGGTTATTTGAGACGATATTTATAATTGATTTGTAATTTAATTGTGGAAAATGTATATATTTTTGTTATTATGAATACTTTTATTGATAATAAAAATGTTTAATTATTGATATGAATATTGAGTGCATTTATTTCAATGTTATCTCAAAGCGTTTGATAAGACTTTCGACAATTTATGGAAATTTTATATCAATTTTTGAATATAAAATTAAAAAGTTCTGAATTGTTGAGTTGTATATTAAAATGTAATTTAATTAATAATTAAATGTGATAATTTAAAATGTAAAAATGCACTTGATGCATGTTAAGGTTATTTTAAATAAATAACTTGTTAATAAATCATGCGATAACTTTGTAAGGAAACCATAAACGATCACCAATTGGTTCCTGAAGAATACAACAGTTTTATACATTTGTTTCTAACGTATTAACATTTCAAATTCAATCTAAAACCTTTGCCCTCTCTCTCTCTCTCTTAACCCCTGACACCAATTGCACAGCACTTAATATAAGCCATAAAACAAACTTTGCAGTCAATACCCTCGATAACCACTTCTCACCGCTTTATTACTCACAAATTAAGCCCTAAATTAACTATTTTAGTAATCATAGGTACAATTTGTTTAAACCATACCTACTGTTCAAACCATATGATCGTATAAAACACTTACTATTCACTCAATTAATTGTAAGTATTATTTAAGTAATTAATTATTCCTAAAATATTTCTAAAATAAAAACACAAGATTTTCATATTTTTGTTATCAGTTGTGGACTTTCGGCAGATGTCTTCGGCAATGATTGATCCAACACTTCGACAACTGATCGCCGATTGCCATCACTTTGAGGCCATTAAGTTCGGCGACTTTGTGCTCAAGACTGGCATTCATTCACCCATTTATCTGGATATACGACCGATGGTTAGCACACCTAAACCATTGGTATATTAACATTATGTTGTTTTAAAACTTTTAAATACTTTTAATTATTTTATATTTATTTAATATAAATGTTTATTCAAAGAAACGATTAAGTGAATTGGTGTATGAGAAGATCATATCAATGAACATCACTCACGACCTGATCTGTGGCGTCCCCTACTCTGCCCTATCCATTGCATCGGTAAGCTGTGTCTCATCCCATGGATTGTCTAATGAGTTGTTTAATTAACTATTTTATTGATTTTTAAGTATATTTCTTTCCAAAATGACGTAATTATGATAACAAAGCGAAAGGAAAACAAAGACTACGGAACTAAACAATCGATTGAAGGCCAGTATAAACCGGGAGATCGTGTGGTGATAGTCGAAGACATTATATCCAGCGGTTCCAGTATTTTGGAGACTGTTATTGTAATTATTAATTATTGCTGATATTATCTCGCATGTAATGAAAACATATTTATAGAAAACTAATTATTTTTACTTCATGTGAAAGGCTTTAAGAAGTGCGGGTCTGGTAGTGACCGATGCGGTCGTATTCATTGATAGGCAACAAAATGGTGTCAATAATATGAAAGAGTATGGCATTGATGTCCACAGGTTTGACATTTAATTGTCTTATTTGACATTTTGATTGATTGCATGTCTTCTGCAGTTTAATTGATGTGAAGACAGCTCTAAATGTGTTTGAAGAAGAGCAGCGTATTAATGGCCACCAAAAGTCGGGTATCATTGAATGGATTGACGCAAATCCGTTAGGGATTAACGACGATATCGTAAACGAATGGAAACTCTTATGTCTTCAGAATAAGACATCAAAACTGTTGTCATATGAAGAAAGATCTCAATTACCAGAAGTGCATCCATTATCTCAAAAGTTGTTCAAACTTATGGCGCAAAAGAAAAGTAATCTATGCGTTGCCGTCGATCTGACCGCCAGTAAAGAGATCTTAGATTTGGTCAAAAGGATTGGTCCGTCGATTGTAATGCTTAAGCTTCACATCGATATCGTTAAAGACTTTGATCACAAGTTTATTGAAGAGTTGACGGCATTGGCGGCCGAACACGAGTTCTTCATATTTGAGGACCGGTTTGTGAACACAATATATACATTAGTTTTGTTTATTTGTATAGCAATTATTTGTTTCTTTGAATAGAAAGTTTGCAGATATCGGGCAAACAGTTGGTCTACAGTTTACAGAAGGTGTCCATCGGATCAGTAGTTGGGCTCATATAGTGAACGCTCACTTGGTTTCGGGTCCCGGAGTTCTGGAGGGACTCCGACAGGGATTTGAAAAGGTTTGCCACATAAATGATTGCAATTTATAGCTATGACATGAACTGATGGTCTACTCTATCAAAAGGACAGTAATCGGGGCTGTTTTTTGATTGCTTCCATGAGCTCTAAGGATAACCCAATGAACAGCACGTTCTCGAAAACCGCCTATAAGTGGTCCCAAAAGTACAGCGATTTTGTTATTGGGTTCATCAGTCAGTCCCGAGTGTCGGCTGACCAGCGATTCATTCACATGACTCCCGGCGTTCACATCGATGTGTCGGGCGATCCGTTGGGTCAGCAATACGTCACTCCGGAGGAAGCGATTAAGAAGAGGGGCGCAGATGTGGTGATTGTGGGCCGAGGCATCACCGGTGCCTCCGATCGCGAGTTTGACCACACGTTACAACTCTATCGGAAGCGAGCGTTTGAAGCGTATCTCAACCGAGACTCCTATTAATGATTTACTCAATTGTTTTAAAGACAATTATTTAATATTTAATGAATATTTGTAAGAATTGTAAGCTTTTAAGCGTGAATTTGGAAATAAAACTGATTATTAAAATGGTATATACCGTATGTGTGAATTAATGACACGATTTATGCCATAATTAATGCTAGTTTTACTTTTGAGGCAATTCTGATGCTTACAGTAAATGTAACAAATGTTAGGTTTATTGAAAACAAATCACTTGTTTATAAACTATACGATAATTTTATAAATTGTGTGTATTTTTAGACACGATATCTGTGTTTATAATCTAATAATCGTTTTGATAAAAGTGTTTTCAATTTATTTTATTAGGAATTTACACTAACTTTGCGCACATTTAATACAAAACTAACACTAAATTATCAAAAAGTTTTTCATTATATTTTGAAATTGTTGTAAAATTGGTGTACATTTTATTGTATTGTTTTTCAATTATTCAATATTAATATTCAATTAATTAATTGTAAGTATTATTTAATGAACAATAAATTAAATTTCATAAAATATTCCTAATATAAATACACGCCCATGATAAATGATATATCTAAAAATGAATCAACCTATCTCAAATATCTAATAATAGTATTGGATACAGGCAATGATGATGACCTTGATAAAACACATGATTTACACATTTTTGTTGTCAATTGTGTTATATTTCAAGTTTTAAATTTCACTTTATTCTCATTAATTTGATTTTGTTTGTCAGCCAAGAGATGTCTTCGGCAACAATTGATCCCTCACTTCGACAACTGATCGCCGATTGCCATCACTTTGAGGCCATTAAGTTCGGCGACTTTGTGCTCAAGACTGGCATTCATTCACCCATTTATCTGGATATACGACCGATGGTTAACAGACCTAAACCACTGGTATATTAATATTATGTCATTTTAATTACTTTAAATACTTTCAATTACTTTATATTAATTTTATTTAAATGTTTATTTAAAGAAACAATTAAGTGAATTGATGTATAAGAAGATCATATCAATGAACATCACTCACGACCTGATCTGTGGCGTCCCCTACTCTGCCCTATCCATCGCATCGGTAAGTGTTGTGTCCCGTGTATTGTCTATTGAAATGTTTTAATTAATTATTTTATTTGATGTTTAAGAGTATTTGTGTCCAAAAGTTTGTTAATATGATAACAAAGCGAAAGGAAAACAAAGATTACGGAACTAAACAATTGATTGAAGGCCAGTATAAACCGGGAGATCATGTGGTGATAGTCGAAGACATTATATCCAGCGGTTCCAGTATTTTGGAGACTGTTATTGTAATTACTGTTAATATTATCTGACATCTCATGGAAAAAATTTTACAAAATAAAACATTATTTCATATAAAAGGCCTTAAGAAGTGCGGGTCTGGTAGTGACCGATGCGGTCGTATTCATTGATAGGCAACAAAATGGTGTCAATAATATGAAAGAGTATGGCATTGATGTCCACAGGTTTGACATTTAATTGTCTTATTTGACATTTTGATTGATTGCATGTCTTCTGCAGTTTAATTGACGTGAAGACAGCTCTGGATGTCTTAGAAGAGGAGAAACGGATTAATGGTCACCAAAAGTCGGGTATCATTGAATGGATTGACGCAAATCCGTTGCGGATTAACGACGATATCGTAAACGAATGGAAACTCTTATGTCTTCAGAATAAGACATCAAAACTATTGTCATATGAAGAGAGATCTCAATTACCAGAAACACATCCATTATCTCAACAGTTGTTTAGTCTTATGGCGCGAAAGAAAAGTAATCTATGCGTTGCCGTCGATCTGACCGCCAGTAAAGAGATCCTAGAGTTGGCCAAAAGGATTGGTCCGTCAATTGTTATGCTTAAACTTCACATCGATATCGTCGAAGACTTTGACCACAAGTTTATTGAAAAGTTGACGGCATTGGCGGCCGAACACGAGTTCTTCATATTCGAGGACCGGTTTGTGGACACAATATATACTCTATTTGTTTATAATAACGATTATCTGTTCCTTTGAACAGAAAGTTTGCAGATATCGGGCAAACAGTTGGACTACAGTTTACGAAAGGTGTCCATCGGATCAGTAGTTGGGCTCATATAGTGAACGCTCACTTGGTTTCGGGTCCCGGAGTTCTGGAGGGACTCCGACAGGGATTTGAAAAGGTTTGTCACATAAATGACCGCAATATCAATACTAATGCCGTTCTCTATCAATAGGACAGTAATCGGGGCTGTCTTTTGGTGGCCTCAATGAGCTCTAAGGATAATCTAATGAACAGCGCGTTCCCAAAGGCCGCCTACAAGTGGTCCCAAAAATACAAACACTTTGTTATTGGGTTCATCTGTCAGTCCCGAGTGTCGGCCGACCAGCGATTCATTCACATGACTCCCGGCGTTCACATCGATGTGTCGGGCGATCCGTTGGGTCAACAATACGTCACTCCCGAGGAAGCGATTAAGAAGAGGGGCGCAGATGTGGTGATTGTGGGCCGAGGCATCACCGGTGCCTCCGATCGCGAGTTTGACCACACGTTACAACTCTATCAGAAGCGGTCGTTTGAAGCCTATCTCAACCGAGACTCCGATTAATGATAAGCTCAAGAGTTTTGATGGCATTGTCTTAAGTTTTGTGAAACAAGTTTTCAAAGCGAACGTTATTTTTGTATTATTTTGTCACACAATATGTGAATGAGTTTTGTATTTGTTTTGAATAAACATTTTTAGTCTGAATTTTGTTGTGATTTAAAGTATGAGTGAATTGAAGACATTAGTGGCGGAACTGATCCGATCCGAGACAACCACTCAGTTGTCATCAGTCGTTCAACACATCTCCAAATGCATTCTTCAGGAGCTGTTGGCCGCGCAGTCTTCGGCCACGAGTGGCGGTGACGACGACTACTGTCCGCCGGCAGTGTTGGAAGCGTTTCGGGCGATCGCCAAGAAGTCTGTGCCGACGGAAGTGGTGTATAAGTCCAGCGCCAGCGGTGGTAAAGCGCAGGCCTCGCGAGCGCTCATAATCTTCGATAACATGAGACAACTGTTGCTGAGAATGGATTCGCAGAAGTTATCGCTGCCGAAGCCGGTGGTGACGGAACTGCTGTTTGTGATCGTTGGCCACAATCGGCCATCGCTTGAGTGGTCGTCGTCTGAAATACACCGAAACCAATGCAAACTCATTGAACTCGTGGTGAAGATCACCGAAACGAAGACAATCGGAGAGCTGTTGAACGAGAAGTACAATCATTACACCATTCGCTCGCTTTTGGCTAAAGTGCGGACCAATTGTCCCGTCGATGGCGACGGCGGCGACAATGAGTGGCCATCCGTGGCCTGCAATTCAGTCATCTTCGAGTGGATCGTCACTAATATCGCTGCCGTCGACCGGTATCTGCACGACGTCTTCGCGCCCACCGTTCAGCTCATCGACGATCACATGATTCACAACAAAGTCTGTGGCGTTAAGTGTCTGCACATTATTGTCCGCAACTGTTGGCCCGAACTGCGGCTCAACGGCTCGGATCTGTTGATCTTTGAACGCGTGAAGACATTGCTGTACAACAAAGAGCCGGAACTGTTTGAAGTGCTCTTCGACTGTGTGTTGGATGTGATGAACAAATTTGATTCGTACGACAGACAGGAGGCGGCGGACACCCGACCACTGGTGGCCATCACTCGCAACGATCAGATCGCACTCCAAGTGATGCAAAACATCCGCATGTCTTCGGACACCGGCTATCGTGTAATGCATTTGCGATTTTTGGACAAATTCTTTGTGTCCATGAATTCGGCCGCACAGAAGCACTCCATGTCTTACGTGACACTACTGTGCGATCTGTTGTCGTCGGAACCGATATGCCTGAAGACCTTCCGTCTCGTGGAAGTGACCATCAATTCGTTGAACGCATTCCTCATCTGTGTTTGGATAACAATACACGAGTTTCTGGACAAATGTCTGCTCTGTTTACTCAAACTGTCGGTCAACTCATCGGCCAGTGATTTGAGTCCCGAACTCAAGCATAAACTCAATCAACGGATCTGTGACTCCATTCATATCATACGAAACGCCGACAAAACCTCGACATTCAAAGTGTTGGCCGAGAGTCTGATGAAGAGTCCGACGAAGACTGCGTTAAACGAATCCATTCTTAATTTATTCACATTTTAATGCGATTTTTGTAATTTATTTATAACTTGAACTAGTAAATTGTTTGTAAATAAAACTTTTTTACAATATATTTCATAAAATTTATCATTATTTTTGTGTCCACTCATTTGTTCCCATAATTCACGGCAACTCACTCTCTATTACCCTCATAAACAGGACATAAGCCGTATCTCATTAGGGAGCATATCGGGAGCACAACCACAGCAATAATTAAATCTTATATAAATGTTAAAAAGTCATGTTTTATTTGCATAAAATATTTTTTGTTATTAATAAAATATAATTTCAATTCAATTATAATACACACGAAATAATATTTGGATTATTACCCTAATATACAGATTATATGCCATTCATATATTATAATGCATTCAAATAACTTATACAAAACATACATGTATATAAAAATGATATAATTAATGGCTAAACATATTCCTCCACTTCTTAAGGGCTGAAGTTTGCCTGAATTCGTTTGAATTTCTTGCGCCGTTTTGATGGCAGCCGTCGCTCGGGTTTAGCGTCCACTTCGACATCGGAGTCAACGAAATCAATGCAATCGTTGGGAACGCAAAAGCTGTCCATTTCGTAGTCCTGGAGCTCCTCTTCGGTGGGCGCCTGACTGTAGACATCGATATTGCGGTCGTAATTGTATTGCAGTTTGAATTTATGGCAACCGCCGACACTTCGGCCCGCGATTGACCGCAAATACACTGATTTCATGTCACGGGCGGCGCGGCTGTCGATATCGCCGATCAACCGATTGGCCGGTTGTGTGTCCATCACTTCCCTGTCGTCGATGCAACTCAACTGCGACCCGAAGTCCAACAGTTCCCGCTGTGTGTCCTCAATGTCGTCGCTGAAGGCCTTACTCGAGTCCAACTCCACGTCCGCTTCGAACTGAATAAACTTCGAGCCAATGCTGGCAACAGATAATACAAGATTCACACATCGGTTCCAATGACACGCATATTAGACACTAATTACCGTTTTCTGTGTCCATTCCTCGCCGACACCCTCTTCTTGGCCACAATAACGGGTGATTCGGGAACCGATTCGACGGACTCGTGACTAGTGTTTTGTACATCAATTACCGTAATATCATTGACATTATCAGCGACGGTGTCATCGATGGTG